AGATAAAATAAAACTTCTAATAAATGCTCTTGTGTAGGATGTACAAAATGTGTAATGATCTTAATAAACATTTATATTATAATAGGGTATAGTTATCTTGAATAGAGGAAATATTTCAATGTGAATAATTGTAAAGAACATTTTGATCATATTTTAGACCTTTTTTATTTTATTTTATTTTATTTTATTTTATTTTATTTTATTATTTTATTTTATATTTTATTTTATTTTATTTTATTTTATTTTATTTTATTTTATTTTATTTTATTTTATTTTATTTTATTTTATTTTATTTTATTTTATTTTATTTTATTTTATTTTATTTTATTTTATTTTATTTTATTTTATTTTGTTTTGTATTTTTTATTTAATTTTATTTTATTTTATTTTATTTTATTTTATTTTGTTTTGTATTTTTTATTTAGTGGTCAGCAACCAGTGGGTAGCATAGAAAGCATAGATGTGTCGTTCGGCAGCAGAGAAACGCTAGCTCTCCCCATTGTATCCAGCTGTGTATACTTGTAGAACTGTGACTAGCCAGTAGGAACAAAGGAAATCCCAGGGAGGCGGGCTGAATAAACAACACACAATTAGAGGTTTGAATCCTGCCTCGGCCACAAGTACCATGAAAGGAATTTGTAATCGTTTTTCATCAAGAAAACTTTTAGAACGATTAACATATAATAAATTAACTTTGTGCACAAAGATAAAATAAAACGTGTAATAATGGTTCTTGTGTAGGATGTACAAAAATCTGCAAAGATCTTAATAACATTTACATTATAATAGGGTATAGTTATCTTTAATATAGAAAATATTTGAATGTGAATAATTGAAAAGAACATTTTGATCACATTTTAGACTTTTATTTTTAAAGAGACATTCACTTGTATATTATATTTGTATAACTATGTACAGAAAACCCATATGAAATTTATATCCAATAAACACCAAAAAATAAAAGTTTCTCATTTTATTTATCGAACAATAATATACATATTATATAAAACACACATTACTAACCGAATATATAATAATTAAATAAATATACATTAAATAATTATAGATTAAACAACAACAATTTTGTTTTAAATTAAATAATTATGTACAATTATGTATGTTTAATAGTAACAGTTATTAACATTTAGTGTTTACAAATCTGAGCAAGGTAAAATAACAAAGCAAGTCAATAAAATTAACTTATAAAACACACTAAAACAATGTAAACAAAGCCAATACTTCTGGTATTTTAATGAACAAATGGAAATAAAAAATTATGCATATGTAAGAGTAAAAGTTAAGCAGACTTTTTACATTTTACAATCCTGCATGGAGTCAACATGGCATTCTAAAGTACAATTCAAGGTGTTTTTCAGGAAAGGCCCATCAGGCCATTTACGCAGGGACCCATCAGAAGAGGCTAAAAGAATGAAAGACAGAAGTCGTGGGTTCGAGTCTCGTACCGGCAGGGATTGTAGTTGGGGGGAGTGAAT